GTAGTTATCATCCATTGTGATAAATGTTTATATTTTTCAGAGTTTTTTTGCTCTTTAAAAGAATTTCATATCAAAAATATCTTCAGGTAGAGGTTTCTGGTTTTGGACTTCCCTGAAGACGGACCGCTGACCGTGATTGTCCGCGGCTTTGGTCCATGCTTCTTCATCTGAGAGTCCCGATCGGCTAGATCTGGGGCAGAAGCTGCCTCGTAGGGGCAGCGGAGGAAGGGGAGACCATTGGCTGGATAGAGGGGGGTTGCAAACACCCACCCTGGCTTGGCAAAGCTCCCTCCGAAAGACGTCTGAAGTGGTGGTCTAAAATGGCCACCCTGAAGGGGAAGAGTAAGCTGGAATAAGATTGTGCAGGAGAGAGAAAAAAGTGGACAGCAGGAGAAACAGGACACTATAACTAAATGAAAGGTACCCCAGGATTAATTTCTAATAATTTTTTTAGAAAGGCAAAGAGAAAGGAGGAAAAAAAGGTGTGAGTTGTTTTTTGAAAGCGGTGGGGCTTTGAACCGAAAAAGGTAGAAGCTGGAAGAAGAAACCATTTAATTAATTTGGATAAATATATCCTGTTATTATATAAGCACTAACAAGGCTGAATTTGTGATTGTTAAAGAGAAAACTCAATATCAGTTGGATTTGACTTTTTTTTTTTGGGAAAACTGTGGTTTAAAAAGCCCCAAACATATGAATTTTTTTTAAAAAGGGGGGGTGAAGATTTGTTATGATAAAGAGTGCCATCTAATGGTTAAAGTTAACTTGTTTTTTTGCTAAAAGAAACTCTGTTTCTTAAAAATCTTAAGGAACATTGACATAATAAAACAAGATCTTTGAAAAACTGAAACTTTGAAACGAAGAAAGAAGCAGGAACATTCTGCCCTGGGATTAATTGATGATTTTGGCTGGACTTCATATTGGACTAGTTATGAACTAAATATTTAAGAGGAATAAAACAAAAACGGACTGTTGGAAACTAACCTCATAGACACTATTTGGATTAAATTATTAGACAGAAACATGTAAAATGGTGATATGTCTTCTGGAATTAAAAATGGAACTCAGAAACATGAAAGAAATATTACAAGAATGAGGTGAATCGTTGGACCATTATACTTTAAAATTTTTGGAAAATGCGATCTTAGAATATGAATAACAAAGACAAAAAAGACAAAAAACGGAAGATGAGGTGGAGCTGACTACAGAAGAGGCCATTTTTAACTATCATCGGGAACAAAGAACTCTGAAAAGAAGGAGGAGAAGAGTGGGAAATAAAAATATGAGACATAAGAAGTTAAATATAAAAAGGAATATTTGCAAAATTAAAAAAGGTAAACAGAAACAGCAGAAAATTGAAGGGTGGAAGAAAGCTATAAATAGGGAGGTGGATAAAAACTGGAGTGGCAGAATAAAGGGGGAAATGAAAGGGAAAAAGAAGAGGTAAGAAGCAGGATTTGGAAACAAAGAAATACGGGAATTGTAAAAAAATGAAAAGGAATTGTTTATTTAGAAGGCATAAAGACAATGGATAATTAATATTCTTAAAAGGGGATTCTGCAAGATGAGGAGGGGTAGTTTAAATATACTTAAAGTTATGAATATTGTAGGAAATAGGGATATATAGATTATTAAGATGGAAAATAGAACTGATACTCTTTGGTATTGGAATGTAAGCTCTTTTCTTATATGTATAGAGATGAATGTAATAATTAATGGAAGATGTTTATTAAATATATTGAAATAATTGAAATGAAATATGAGGGGAGTTGTAATGGAGTAGACATTTTTTAGTTCTGGAAAGCAGGCCTTTTTGTTTAAAGGTATAAAGATGAATAGAATAATTAATGGAATATGTGTATTAAAAATAATTGAAATGATATAGGAGGAGAGCTGGAATGGAATTAATATCAGAGTTTAGGATTAAATGAATAGATTAGTATGTTTTCTTTAGTTTGAAATTGTAAATAATTTTTATGAATTTAAGGGGTAAAACGATGCAGAATCTGATTTATACTTGCTATGTAGTTTTAAAAGAATTATTAATTTCAATTTTTTTAGGTAATAAAAGTTAAATGTTTATTGGGATTAAAAGGGGAGATAATTAGTGAATATGTAAACTTTAGAGGTGGCACACTTAAAATTGGTAATTTAAGGGGGAAACTAATTTTATAGAATGTTGTATGAAATTAGATTTTATGAATGGATATAATAAGAATATGTGATGAAATATACAAATATGGCAGTGAAAAGTATCAAAGTATAAGAACTATAAAGATATGAGAAATATTGGTGAATTAAATAATAAGGCAAGCATTTGGAATAATATAATAAAGTAGAAAATGTATAAAAGCATTGTTAGGATAAGAAGTTGAACATAAAAATTGAACATGTAACTATGGTCATATTTGTATGTAAAGATATACCTGTAATCATGTTGTTCACTAAAAAGAGAAGTTTTTAAAATGTCAAAAACTGAAATAAAACTTGTTTTTAAAAAAAGAATATCTTCAGGTTGATTCAACAAGTCAAAAACGGAGTCCAACCATTTTGAATTCAGCTCTGTTCTCGAATGGAGTTATGAAACTTTAGTATACTTTGCTTCTGTTTCCATTTGTAAGCCTGGGTCTAAAATTGATCTCAGAAGACTACTGTGTCAATTAAATTAATACTGATTATTATAATGCAACTTTGGGGATTAAGGTAGGAAACACGATAGTCTGCAAACCAACATGGCTTTTTGCCAGAGAGAATAGTTTACAATTCCCATTGTCTTCAATCTGTTTGGGAATTGTTATCCATAATTTTTAATTAAAGGCATTTTTAACAAAGTGAAAACCATAAGAGAAAATACAATTAATAAAGAATAAATCATAACAAAGAAAATAGAAAATGAAACAAAAGGAAAAGACAGATTATAAAAAAGATACTTCCGATCTCCTTGACAGTGATTATAGATAAAGTTTTTACTTTGCCCCCTTTCTCAGATTACATTATCACTTTCTTCTTTCCATAAATTCTAATTTTAAAGCCCATGAATCACATTTTAATTTCTTTCTTTTTTTTCCCAGTAAAAAGTTCATAAGGATTTCCAGTCACTAATGAACATAGCTGTTGATTGTTCTCTAATCCAACAGGTTAATTTGCTAGTTCTAACATCTTCATCAACCATTGCACCATTGTGAGTAGTTCAGAATATTTTCCATTTTTGCTCATACAATAAGTTTGCAGCAGTAATTACTTATAGAGACAATCTTCCATAGGTCTTTTCTAATCGGATGTCCATTAATTCAAATGAGAAAAGTCAAATGCTGATTTTAAATAAATTTGTAGTATTATATGTATCTGACCCCAACAATTCCTGGCCTCTTCTCATGTCCTTTAGACATGACCATGTAGTCCACATTTCCAAAAGAAATTTGAAGAACTTTCATACATTCTAGACAAATTTTCTGGAGTCATACACCAACATTTTATTAATATTGTCCTTTCTGTTACAATCTGTTTTAGTCCTTTTAACTATATATTTTCCCATTGTTCCATCAGTATGTTGGAGCTGATTTTATCATATAATCGGTCACTTGTTCTTCTGTTTCAAATTTCCATAAAAATTAATCATTGTACCATTGTACCAATGTATATCATCATGTATATAGTTGTGAGTTAAAATTCTGTCTCCTTGCTGCTCAATTCCAAATGTCCTGTTTGTTATCTACCCTAAATCCTTCTCTTAGTTAGGCATATGAAAACCATTGAAATTTAAATCCCTCTGCAGCCAGTTTTCTCTTGATTTCATCTTATATTCTCTATATTCCTGTTCTAGCAACTCTTGATGTTATTTATTTTTTAACCCATTTTTTCTTTCCTGTAAAATGCTTCCTATGCTGAGATCCATTTTCAGGCATTTTCATGTGCAATCTGGATTTATATCTGTTCCACATTCTCAAAATGGCACTTCTAATATAATGACTCTTAAAATCTGCATCAATCTTAAATTTATTATATCACCGACGACCTTACCTGGGAACTGTCATCAAAAACATATTTAGAAGACAGTAAATGGACATTATAAGCTGATCTATTTCACATTAACTTCCAAACTCTTAGGCTGGCACATTCCAGATGTGTTGATCAATTTATGAACACAAACAGCATGGTTGAAGCAAGTGATTTGATAGCTATAGTCCCAGCCTATTCAAGATTTCCTGCCTGAGCAAGTTAGACTAGAAGACCTCCAAGATCCCTTCCAAATCTCTCATTCTGTTATTTTGTAAGGAGTCCAATATGGGAAGATATTGTAAGATGAGAATTGTGGTAGTCTACAGGGGCAAAAATGTCTGTCTGTCTATCATCTACCTACCTATCATCTATCTATATCTATCATCTACCTATCAATCATCAATCAATCAATCTTTCATTTACCTATCATCTATCAATCATCTATCAATCTATCATCATCTATATCTATTTATCTACCTATCACCTACCTATCAATTATCAATCTATAAATCATCTACCTATCTGAATTATATAACAAAACCTGAAAGCTCGCCCTCCTTGAAAGTGTTAGTTTCTTTACTAGTGTAACTTTTCAAAACCGCGTTTCTCAATTTTGGCCACTTTAAGATGGATGGACTTCAACTCCCAGAATTCCCCAGCCATCTTAAAATGGCCAAGATAGAAAAACACTGTTTGAGAACCTGTTTGCTTTTTGACAAACCATTACCCTTTCCAAAAACCTCAGAGAAGACTCAAAGGGCAGCTAGCAGGATAGTCCTCAGTCCTTCTTCCCAATAACCCCGGCCTAATTTGGGGGTGCTATGTGCTGAACAACCCTACCCCCAAATGACTGAAAAAGTCAGGGCTGGAGGGCTCTGCTTTGACCCACCCAAAGCCAACAGGTGAGCGAGACCGCCCTATGCAAATGAGAGCGTTGTCTGCCGCCTCTGACTGGCTCTGGCCCGACGCCCAGCCCTTCCCCGAAAGGTTAGACGCCTTGTCCGTCATCGGCGAAGGTAAAGTCGCCAACGCCGCCTCCCGCTTCAGTGCACCTGCCTGCCGGCTGCTCGCAGGATCCTGCTGCTGGGCTCCCTTCGCCGCTTCTCTTCAGCTGGCCACCGTCGTTGCCGTCGATCCACCTGCGTCATGGAGGGGCTGCGGGGTGGCCTGAGCCTCGCCGGGCTCCTGTTGTTGCTGCTCGTCGCCGGCGGTAAGTAGAGGAGGACAGGCGACAGCCGTCCGGGGCGCCTTGAAAGGTAGCGGGCAGCTCCTGTCCTGTTGCTATCCCCGCACACCTTGCAACTTTGGCCGCGGGCTACTTCTCGCGATCCCGTCCAGGTTTGGAACCGTGTCTGGTTTGGTAGCAGCCGAAGTTTCGAGCTTTCGAACCAACACCCCGCTGGTTGTTTCCTTGGATGAGGTGGGTGGGTCTTTCAGGTTTCTAGTCCTCAAGGCTTTAGGAGCCAAGTTGGTTTTGCAGAGCGGGGGCGGGAAGTCAAAGTCGAGCTCCTCGCTTGGGGCAGTGAAGAACTTGCAAGGGAGGGAAGGGAGTGGGCTCCACCAGGAGTTGTTGTGTGGGCACCCGAATTCAGATTTTGGTCGTGGCAGCCCTGCAGATTGCATTGTATCCAGAAATCTATTCCTTAAGACGCAGGAATCGTAGCTTACCTGGTGTTTTTTTTTTAAAGCTTTAAAGCTTGATCCTTCTTGTGCCTGAGGCTGGGGGGTGTGTGTGTGATTGTTTCTGCCCAAGGAGAGACTTCCTGCTCTAAGATATTTTTTCCTTAATTCCGTTTCTCACCTTTTCAGGCTTAATCCGGATCTCTCTTTTGAAAGGTCTTCTCAAGGTGGCGTGATCAGAATAGAATACAGAATAACAAGAGTTGGAAGGGACCTTGGAGGTCTTCTAGCCCAACCCCCTGCTCAGACAGGAAGCCCCATACCATTTAAGAAAAATGGTTGTCCAATCCCTTCTTCAAAAACTTCCAGTGTTGGAACATTAATAATTTCTGGAGGCAAGACTTCAAATTGAAGTCTTAATGATGATTGTGATGATTAAAGGAGACCCTCACAGCACCACTGTATTCTCCATTCCTGTTTTGAGTCCTATGGAATTGTGCTTTTAACACATTCTTCTGCTAGAGCGCTGGGATGACAGCTCTTTTTAGGCTGGAGAACCCTAACCTCTTTTCGGTTTTATCTTAGATTTAACACTTTTTGGTTTCCCTCCCTTCTTCCTGAAACCAGCTTTAGGAGCATGACCAGCAAAGGCTGCCTGGCCTTGTAACTTGTAAGAGGGCAAAGGTCTGTGAATTGGGAAAACACAGTCAGAAAGAGAAAGGGGAGGAAATGTTCCTTGGAATGTCTTGAGGAAGAAGATTTGCCATCATATTTTCTTTTTTCCTCCCCGTATTGGAGTTTTCATGCTTTTTTTTTTTTTAGAAAGATACAGCATTCCCTAAGGAAAATTGCTTAGATATATGGTTACATCTCTAGGCCTGGAAAAGTATTTCTGCTTGCCTGGATTTTAGACCGAAAGCTGCAACACTAGAATGGGCTCAGTATTTTAAAGGAAGGGCTTGACAGAATAGGAACCTCTGATCTGATGTGTTAAGATCCTTTTTAGTTACTCTTTGAAAAAGGTTTAACCGTTGGTGTGCTACCTCCAGGCCTGCAACGTCCTTTCTGACAGACGTGGAAATATCTGTCGGAGGTGAGAAGTGAGATTCCCCCCCACCATTTCTCTTCTGGAAGGAAATGTGTTCTTGGAGCCAAAAAAAAAAAAGCATTATCTCCTTTTTGGTAACCATACCTAGTCTCTGGGCTGCTTCTTGAAACTCCCATTATCTTCTTCCATGAAAGCTGAAACTCAAATACACTTCATAGAAGAGGCATTAAAATCCAAGCACTTGGGAATAGCGGTTTCTGGAATGTTCTCCACGTGTGTTTACATGTGCCTGTCCTTCCAAGTCTGCAGTTGGGCAGGATGTCTGTAATCAAACAAAATAAGAAGACAGAAGATGCTTTACCCTCAGGGCACATCCAGTCAGCAGTAGCAGTGCTCAGTCCTGGAACATAAGAATAAAGTACGGGTAATCCTTGACATAAAAATAGCTCATTTAGGGACCATTCAAAGTTACAGTGGCACAGAAAAAAAGTGTCTTACAACCATTTTTCACACTTTTTAAAAAAATTTAAAAAAAACTATTAAACACAAAAAATTAAAATATACAAATATACAAAAATATAAGGTAAAAAATCGTACAAATAAACATCACAACCCATTCTATAGTAAAACTAATCGTATTTTTCTCTAATACATGTTGATAGTGATTTAAATATTTCATAGTAGGTATTAAGTGGCAGTTATTTCCTATATCTTGTAAATTGCATGTTATCTATTCTATACTATATAAGAATAATAGTCTATTATTATTATTATTGGATTATAATTATTTGTTTTTATAAAGAAGTTCTATCACTTTATCAAAGAACAAAGAGGTATAGAACTAATATTTATAAATTCCTATCCTTTAGTATATATATCATATGTTTCATAGATTCATTATTTCCCCTTATTTTATACATTTTTTAACGCTCTATCCAATCGTACCATTTATCTCAAATCAAACAGTATTCTGAATCATCCTTTCCTTTTAATTTTAATGTGAGCTTCTCCATTTCGGTGCATTCATAAATTTTTTGAATGATAAAATGAATAGGCAGTATATTGGGCATTTTCCAGTATTGTGCCAGTGAAATTTGTGCCGCTGTTAATATGTGAATAATCAGATACTTTACTTTGAGGGAATACCCCACCCCCCTTAATAATACCCAGGAGGTACAATTTAGGTTCCCACTCCAATCCACCTTGGACAATTTCCTCTATCCATGTGTTGATCCTGGTCCAAAAAATGTTAACCTCTGGACAAGTCCACCAGAGACGGCAGAAGGTACCATGATTTGCCTTACATTTCCAACAAATCAGGTTTACTGTTGGATACATTTTTACATTTTCTAGAGGGTGCCAGATGCCATTTATATATCATTTTATATAAATTTTCTTTATAAGATACTGATCTTGTTGATGTAAGATTTCTATGCCAAATTTCTTCCCAGTTGTCTAGATCTATATTATGGCCGAAATTCTTTGCCCATGCTATCATTGATCCTTTCACAATTTCCTCAGCTAATTCATATTCTAGTAAGTAATTATATAATTTGGATATCATTTTTTTTTCTGGGCCCAAAAGTATCTTGTCGAGATTGAGTATTTTTTGTTTCTAGTCCAAATTCTTTTAAATCCCCCTCATATCTCATTGCTATTTGAAAATAAGACCAACGATCAATATTTATTTCTTGAGTTTCTAAATCTTGGATCGATTTAAGTTTCCCTTCATTATCTAAAATTTGGTGATATTTAAGCTTTTTATTAATATCCATTGTGTTGGGATGGAACGTTGCCTCTATTGTTGATAACCATGTCAGGACTTTAATATAATGATTTCTCCTGATAACTGTCCAAGTTTTAATCAAAGATTTATGCAGGGTATGTCTATAGAAATATGAGTGACTTTTACTATTGGAGTTCTACAAAAAGGTGTGCCACCCTATTTGTAAATTGTAACCCTCTAGTGTTAAAATTCTTTTATTTTCCAGTTTAATCCAATCCTTTATCCACACTAACGCCGTCACTCTATAATAGGTCTCCCAAGCAGGGAGTCCAAAGCCACCTCTGCTTTTATTGTCTTGTAAGTAAATTCTTTTAATTTTTGATTTCTTGCCTGCCCAAATGAATTTCATATTATTTTGTCCAACTCTTTAAAAAAAATGTCTAATAATATAGGGATCGTTTGAAATAAATATAACAATTTAGGTAGAACGTTCATCTTGATTGTGACTATTCTACTTAATAATGAGATCTGCATTTTAGTCCAATTTCCTAAGTCTCTTCCAATTTGTTGTAATACTTTTGTATAATTATCTTCCTTCAAGGTTAACGTTCTAGGTCTTAACCATATACCTAAATATTTAATCTTATTTACAATTTGTAGTCCCATTGTTTTCTGTATTTTTTTTTTGTCTATTATTTGTTAATTTTTTAACTAACATTTTAGTCTTTTCTTTATTAATTTTCAGCCCTGCTAATTTGCCAAATTTATAAATTTCCCTTAATAATATTGGTCCTGAATCTATTGGATCTTCTATAATAAACACCATATCATCCGTGAATGCTTGTAATTTGTATTCTTGTTTTTTAATCTTTGTTCCTTTAATTTCTTTGTTCAGTCTGATTCTATCCAATAGTGTTTCTAATATTGTTATAAAAAGCAGATTCGACAGTGGGCATCCCTGCCTGACACCATTTTTTATCTCAAAAGGGTTAGTAAAATCTCCATTTATCATTACACTTGCCTTCTGTGTAGAGTAAATTAAGTTTAACATTTTTGCAAAATTGTCACCAAATTCCATCAAATTAATCTGACATTTCATAAAGTCCCAATTAAGGTTATCAAATGCCTTTTGCGCATCCAGGAAGTCAAGAGCAACTTGACTTCCTGGATGTGTCTCATAAAATTCTAATATATCAATTATGGTTCTCATATTATTTCTAATCTGTCTCGTGGGAAGGAATCCATTCTGGTCAGAATGAATCCTATCATTAAGAATTATCTTCCATCTTTCTGCCATCATGCTCATGAAAGTTTTATAGTCTGTATTCAAAAGGGATATTGGTCTATAATTTTTTATTTGGTCGGCATCTGCACTCTCTTTAGGGATTAACATAATATAGGCCTCCTTCCATGATTCTGGGATTCTAGCTTCTAATAATACCTCATTGCAAGTCTCTAGTAACAAATTTTCTAGTGGCTCTCCTATATCTTTGTTTAGTTCACTTGGGAGGCTGTCTGGGCCTCGGGTTTTGTTGCTTTTTTGTCTTTTAATCACCCCCTTTAGCTCACCTAGGGTTATCCCATTTTATATAAATTCTCAAAGTAATCTCCTACAATAATTTTCTTTTTTTCCAAATCCATCTCTATTGTTCCATTGTTATCTTTCAATTGATATATAATTCTTTTTTGGTTTTCTTTTTTCAACTTATACGCTAGCCATCTACCGGGTTTGTTTGCATATTCGAAATGATTTTGTTTGAAGTATTGCAATGTCTTGGCTAAGTCTTCCTGATCTAAAATACTCATTTCATGTTTA